GAGAGAGAGGGAGAGAGAGAGAGAGAGAGAGAGAGAGGGAGGGAGGGAAAGGGAGAGGTAGGAAGAAAAGGAGGGAGGAAGAGAGAAAAAAACAGGGAAATTTTCTTTATCTGCTCATCCCCTGATGAGCACTTGGATTGATTACAGTTCTTTAACAGCAGAGATTCCTCAAAACATTAGAAACACAACTTCCGCCTAACCCAGCAACTGGGTATACACTAGAAGTAAATGTCGGCCTGCTCTCTGTTTTGCTCAGTGTGTGCTCACAAAGAGAAGCTGGCAACATCCACTACAACAGAGGAACACTGTTCTGGTTCCAAGTAGCCTTCTGTCATCCAGTTATTACTCAAACCTGAGCATCAGGCTCCCATGCTGGAAAGAAGGGATCTGAGTCCTTTTGTAGATTAGGAATCTTCATGAGGGCTCCAGAGACAGTTTTCTAGATTGGTTGTGTAAGCTTCTTAATAACTGTATTTATATAGTCCTAAGCAGGGAAATTTACTAAGTAGTAATAAAACAACATTGTTTCTGTAAAAAAAATATATATGCATATATATATCCTCATAATTTTAATATTTGTTTGGTTATTATGTTCATTATTCATCATCTTGGCTCACTTTTAATTTATCTAGTCAAATATTATATTTATTTATCTTGTGGTACTCTGAAGATACATTGGTTCTCAGACAAATAGAACCTGTCAATCAGGCCTTGAAGCATAAGAGGAAAATAGAGCACACAAAGTTGTCTACGTCCTTCTTAAAGTGCCTAACTTGGAGCCGGGCGTTGGTGGTGCACATCTTTAATCCCAGCACTCAGGAGGCAGAGGCAGGCGGATCTCTGTGAGTTCGAGGCCAGCCTGGCCTACAGATCGAGTGCCAGGATAGGCTCCAAAGTTACACAGAGAAACCCTTCAGTATCCACAAGGTTAACCTATAACAGGGAAGACATACACAAATCATATTCCATCTATTATCCATTTAAGCTGTCTGGCCTATAGGAAATGGGAGGGAGTAAGACTGAGACTAATAAATTCCAAGAAGTAAACGTCTTTAAGGATTCTGTTTATCTTTATGTGTGTCACTTTCATATATCCTAATTTGTTTTATTGCTCTGGTGTTGCACGAAAATTAAATGACCCAGAGACAGACATTGGGGTTCAAGCTTCAAGCTGAAGATAAGCAAAGCATATCAGCCAGGCATTAGTTCTTACCTCTAGCTCAGGCTGAAAGGGCTAATCCGTGAACTCTACACCAAGCCTCAAACTGCTGCCTCTCCTCAGTGTGGCTCGAGAATGAATGCCAGCTCTGAGAACCTGTTCCTGCCTTAAATATCTCTCATGAGTCCTGAGATTGAAGGCTTGTGACCCCAAGTGCTGAAATCATCACTGTGTGAGCTGTTTCTCTTTAGGACTGGATCAATTTTGTGTAGTCAATGTGGCCTTGAACTAACAGAGATCCCTCTACCTCTTATTCCTAAATCCTGGGATTAAAGGTGTGTGCCTAGCTTCTATGGCTTGTGGCTGACTTTGCTTTTTGAATCCTCGGGGAAGCTTTAATAAATCATAAATAATATATCACCACACCCTGGAAATGTCTTATTAGAATGGAAGCAAGCTACAAAGTTATGGTAGGGAAATTAATCATATTTCCCTATGATATTTCCTATTCAGCATGTGGATATTAACCACACCTTTGCTTGCACAATACCATAATGTGGAAAAAATGCATTCCTCTCTCTCCCACCTCAAACCTGGTGTCTTCTGACTCATTGCCTCTCACGGAAGAACTAAAGAAAACTATGAGGCTCAGCTCAGAATGCCGTCTCTTTTGGGTCTTGCCAGGAATCAGGACATATTTATGTTTAAAATAGATAAAAATGGTAAGTTCAAGCTCAACCTAATTAAGAAAAAAAACAGAAGTCAAAGGTGAGACTTAAGGACCAGCAATAAGGCTTAGCAAGTGAAGCCTGCTGATCTGAGTTCTAACCCCAGGTCTCACGGGGTAGAAGGAGAGAACCGACTCCTGGAAGGTTTTCTCTGACCTCCACACATGTACTGTGACACATGCACACACCCCGTATGCACACACCCCACACACAAACAAATAAATGCATGGGATAAAAATTGTTAAGTGAAATTTAAAATCTGCCCATGCAAAGCCTGCATTTTAGACAATCACCCATGAATCACTGTAAACGACACAGCATGCTGTTGGAAGTGTTTGCATTTCTTTTACAAAGTAATTCAAACCTCAAAGAATGAGAGAAGAAAACCACATCTTTACTTTGTTTATTTAATAAGTACTTTTCAATGATCATTATGACTTTCCACAGATGAGTTAATAATGCAATGACATGGTAGTACTGAAGGGCCCCCAAAAGAAAGTACACAAAGGGAAAAGTCCACAAAGGGAAAAACTAACCTCAACAGTAAGATATGTGCTTGCATACAGAGATGCATATACACAGAAAAGTATCTGAATGTCTACTTTTTCTATATGTAAATATAAATATATAGTCAGGAATAAAACCACTTGTATTTAAAGTACCAAGATAATAACTATTCCAAGGTTTAAGTCACGCTGCATTCTAATGATACTATAGTGACTCACCAAAATTAACTTTAGGTTCAACAACTGGGTTCCATCTAAAGTGGCCTCTCTGTTCAAGTCACTGCTACACTGTTCATCTTATATAATATATTCACTAACCATTGACTCTAGAAAGGCAACGTGCAAGCTCCTACACTCTAGATAAAGGGTGCTTATCTAGGTAGATACTCAAGGGGGTGGAAGACTCATGAATGACTCACCTGGCATCCCTAGCACCTGCCCTAGGGACAGAATGTTGTAGGTGCTCAACAGATCCTTCTTCAGTTGAACTAAAACCGCCACAAAGATGAACAGTTTTTAGCCCCTGACTCTGTGGATGACACCTCTCTAAAACAAGTTGACCATGGATGAATATTAAGCATTTGTGGGCACATTCTTGAGATGGCTGATTAAGTATTTTAAAATATCTTTAAAAGGGAAAATTGCTCCAAAGCTACACAGAGAAACCCTGTCTCGAAAAACCAAAATAAGAGGAAAATTGATGAACTTCTGAAATAATATAAAATATATTGCTATGTTGTTTAATAACCACATGTACTATGGGATATTGCTAAGAAGACATATAAATTAGTTATTTGGGGTTTAATATCTCTTGTGTGATTAAAGCAAACACAATAAACCAGAAACTATAATCTCCCAGTGTCAAACTAAATAATAATACATTTTCCATACTTATTTTCAAACCCTGGCATCATGTTTTATTAGATCTGTGACATATAAACATCTTTTAACAATGACCTCTGATGAAATAAGACACAGAGGTTTGCAAAATGCAATGCATTGTCAGTAGATTATGAGAACAGGAGAAAAGCTACACATCCCAAAGGAAAATCTGTAAACCAAAGAAATAATATGTGTTACATTAAGAGAAATGATAGACTTTTCCCTTAACCAAATATCTAGAGTGGAATAATCCAGAAGTTCTAATGCTTAGTAGTTCATAAATGTATGATCACTCAGCCATTTTATTCCTCACCCTGGGTGATACATTCACAATTTTCATGACAGTATTCTCTACACACTTTTATATGTTAGGAAATGGTACAATAAAAATGTTTTAAGTAAAACAGAAATGTTACAAGCAATATATTGTTATATTTGGGTCAATTATGTAAACTATCATCATAAGTTTTTCTTAGTAAAGTCTAAATTCTGAATATATACTATGAGGGAGAAACTATGTACAAAATCTTACATCACCTGCATCTACTAGCTTCTTGGCTATTTTCCCATGGACCAAATGTGTATCCTAAGGACCAATAAATACTTCTTTCTTCTATGTATTCAACTTTTGGGAACTTGATATTTCCCACAGCATTCAGTAACAGTGTCCCAAATTCTAGGTGGCAAAAGAACTTTGCATTACTAAAGGGCTATAGTCAAATTTGGAAGGAATAAACCACACCTTTCCTTATACCAAAGATCTTTTAATATGTACAAGTCTAAGTTTAATAAAACCTACATTGGAGGGAAAAGCATAATGCTGTGCAGTTATTCTCATACAAAAGACCACCAATATTTTTCAGTTTTCAGTTAAAAACATTCAACTTTACGCATTAAAAATATCCATTCTATTCACTGCAGGCACTGCAGACTGACTTTATGAAAGACCAGTGAGGAACTAAAGAATTTCTGACCTTGGGCATGGAAAAGCAGAGATCTGAAAAGCTGATTTATGAAGAATGGGAAAAGCTGGGGACAGTGGCTTTCAGGAATGGTTTGAGTGGAAAGCAAGCACTGATTGGTCAGAGGAAACAACTATGGTTACTGAATAAATGGTGAATGAATGTGTGAATGAAGCCACAATAGGAAAGCAGCAATGTGCTTAGCGTGGTAGAACAGAGCCATTGCGGGTAGGAAACCAAGGCTTACTTATCTTCATATTCCTGGTACTCATTGCCCTGCCTGGTATATACCTGGTGCTCAAGGAACATATAGTTGGCTTATGGATCAGTCACTCATCACTCCATTTAAAGATTCCAATAATGGCAAAATATGCCTTACAAATAGACCCACAGAAATTTCTATGATCCAGCAATAGAATGACAAGCTAGACAGCCACTGACCAAGATGTCAGTCCCTCTCAGCATGTCAAGGTCTCTTCTAACACCCAACATTGAGATACTGTGGTATAAGCAAAGGAGCCTGTGACAGCCCATCAGACCCCACAATTTCTTACTCCACCAAGCAACAAGCCCCCAGGAAGAGGGTTCGGTTCCAACACGCAAACCACAATCAGCATAATGAACAGCTTGTCTTCACCTCTAGCCAGTTGCTTCTTCTATGTTTCTAGAATATTTTCATATCAGTATGCTGCAGTCATAAGCTCCTTGAACAAACTGATAATACAGCAAGGACTTGGGAGTGAGACTTAGAAAAGTTGGAACCCCAGTTCTGTCATTTGTGTGCTTGCTAAACTTGGCAAGATGTTCATCCCTCTAAGTCAGCTTCTTCAATGGTATGGTGGGAATGCTGCACAACATAGGTCTCGCACCCAGGAAACAACAGATGAGAACTTTAAATAATCTTCTATGAGCTGGAAATGTAGGTCAATTGTAGAGGGCTTACCCAGCATGCCCTGGATTCTATCTCAGCACCAAAATGGATGGATAGATAGATGGATGAATGGATGGATGGATGGATGGATGGATGGATGGATGGATGGATGAGCAAGCAAGAAGAGTATCCAGTTCTATAGGTATTTGGAATCTCTGGGGAAAAATGGCTGGTTACTCTGGGTATCTTCCTCTCTCTTCTCTCTCTCTCTCTCTCTCTCTCTCTCTCTCTCTCTCTCTCTCTCTCCCCTTTCTCAGACACACACAGATATGAAAGGGGGCCCCACTGAGAAAGTATTGTCTCTTGCCTCCTCAAACATGGCTTTTGGCTCTGAAATGTCAGTTCTGGGGCTCTTCAGTTACAAGAACAAGAATCAAAATTCCTTAATGTTTGGTTGGCCTGTAGTATAGATGGCAGGGGGAAGATTCTGAAAATGGGCCTGATGAAATAGTTTTCTGTAGTTGCTAGCATCAATGTCCTTGATGTTGCCAAGGGAAAACTGTGGCCTCAGGCCACCTCTGCCCATTTATATGTGTATGGAGAGCTGAGGAAGAACATTTATTCTGAAACAACGAGACAGTGCTCCAGAATAGGGCAAAGAAAGGCACATATAGAACCAGAGAGAGAAAAGAGTGCAAGCTGGAAGCAAAGAAATGCATCAATAGAAAGAAAAACAAGGGTTTAGAAAATGTGGGGAAGAACAAACAAAAAAGCCAAAGGGACAAAGAGGAAAGCTTCTTAAAAGCGAGCCAAAAATAAGACCAAGACAAAAAGGAGAAAAGAGACCATGGAAAACACTGCATGCAGGAAGAAGTGGTGCCAGGGAAGGGTTTCCCTCAGACCCTAGAACCCTTCCCTGGCCTGGTCCTTAGGCCTGGCTTTGCAGAAATAGACTCCAGTAGCTGATAAATGCCAGCTGGACCAAATACAGCCACACCTTACTCCACCCTCCACCACTAGATACTACCTCAAGTGTCCCAAACCTTGATCCTCTCCCAGATATGTGGCTCCACCTGCCTGACACACAGTTCGACTCATCATGCTTTTATTATCCCCAGAAGCCCTTTTAGCTGAGTTGATTATTATATCCTATATCTAACACACTATATTTGGTACATTTTAATTTTTCAGTTTTTTTCTAAAGGTCTTTGAAACTAAAGCTTACTTTCCTTTTTCATTTCAGAGAACTCAAGGATTAAAAAATAGAGAACTGTACTATCATGTTGTCTGCAGTTCTGGAAATATCTAGTTTTGTTTTTTGTTTTGGGGGTTTTTGTTTTTTGGGGTTTTTTGGGGGGGTTGTTTTTTTGTTGTTATTGTTGTTTTTGCAAAGGAGGACCCTTCTGTCTCTCTGTGGAGACTTGGCCTGGCATTCTACTTCACCCGAGTCTCTCCCATCTTTCAAATCACAGGCCAGAGAGCAACCCAGGCAGAGCTTGGGAAATGTGCATCAGCACAGGTCCGAGTTACACATGAGGAGTTCAATGAGGCAGCTTGACTCTAAATTCCCCCTACCTCTCTCTTCAGAGCCTTCGAAATAAACCCCATATCCTTCTCTAAAACAAGCAGGGGTGCTATGAGGCAAAAAGGCTAGGGTGCAGAGGAAGAAGGGGGGGATCTGGAATGCCGCAGTGCAGTGATGGAATCCCAGCCTAGAGAAATCTCAGCCGGCCAAGGGCAGTGGTGACGATCCACAGGTCTCCAAGGAGTAGAGGGAGGGCTGATGCACAGGGACTGCTTGCTGGAAGCCCAGTGTCTGCGGCCTAGTAGGTGGGAGGATGGACCAAGAGGGAAGCCCGCAAGTGTCAGGCAGGGTCAGGGGAATATGAAATGCAAAGCTTAGGCCTCTGCTGTCCTCTGGCCTGCCACCTGGGCCCAAAGTGGCCACTTGCTGTGCCACACCCACTGGCTGCCATGTTCACTTTCCAAAACCTGAGATTTCTCCCTTAAAATAGAGATTGGACAGGTGAGAATCCTTGTGGCTAGCCAGCCTGGCTCGGATGATCCCCGGGGAGTAGCCTAGGTCAGTGGGGGCTTCTGAGCTACCTTTGAGGCAGGAACATGGAATATCTTTGAAGACACCTGCTCTGTCTGTGGGAAGGTGGACAAAATGTTGAAAATAGAGAAAAAGCAAGGGTCAGGACCCAAAGGCCTCTCACTCCCTGTTTCTCTGGACTCTCTGTGGGGTGCCTGTGTGCAGGATTTCTGCAGAAGATAGTCCATTTTGTTAAACCTTTGAATATTCAAATTGAAAGTATCGCGCAATCATTGATTGTCAAATCATGGGTTTCTAGAGGTTTTAAATACTTGGCATGAGGGGGGAAAAACTCAAACCTATACCCGAAGGTATAAAACATTAATTCTGTGTGTCTCCTACTCCAGGGACCTGGGTGCTGCCTCGTGTTTTGTGAAACTTTAAAAATGTCGCATCTCTGCCTTTCTCCCTGCACAGGAGCCCTCCTAGGTTCTGAGTCTCTGAAGCTGCAGCATCCAGTCTCCAGCCCAGCTCCTGCTGACCACGATGTCGGGTAACTTGGCTGCTTCTCCAGGGGTCGGGTCATGAGGGCCAGGGGTACTTGGATCCGGGTGTATTTCCTCTGCTTTTCCTGCGTATAACAGAGAGTCACAAAGTCAGAGCAGGACAGTCAGGGCCGGGCATGGATCCAGAGAGGGTGCGGGCCCGCTGTGTCGGCTCCCGCTGGGTAAGGGCAGAAGCCCAGAGGCCCATCTGGCTGCCCCGGACAATCGCGTACCCCAGGCCCCTGCCCGACCTTTCACTTTTCCACCTTGTCGTCCTGGGAATTGCAGGCGCCGATCTTGTGCGCCCAGAAGCGGCGGCGGGGGGAGCTAGAGGCTCACGCTGAGCCCTGGACTGGAGCAAGAACGCATCCGGCAGGGAGCTGGGCTGGGGCTGTCTCCGTGTGGACCCCAAGGCGCGCCCGCTGCCAGCAGATCCCAGAGCCGAGCCAGGGAGTGGGGATGGGAGCGAAGGAGACTGGAGCGGAGAGGGCGCGCCCTGGCACTACCGCGGGACACCGGATTCCCAGGATCGGGAAGAATAGCGCACCAGATTTCCTGCGGGAATCCTAGCTCTCAGGATCTGGCTTGTGGGTGGGGGTCTCCCAGATGTCCAGCCGCGGTCCCTGCACTAACCAGGCGAGGCGCTGGCGGCCTGGCATTGTGGCCTGACGCCCAGGCCAGGGGCCACTGCGCTCCACCCCGCCCTGTGCGACTCCCAGGCGCTTGCTCTAGGGTCAAGGACGGGGCGGGCAGGAGTCACCCTGGGCTTCTGAGACAAAGCCCCCTTGGAAAGGGCATCTGCCCGGTCTAACCTGGCCTAAAAAACCAGCAGACCTACTCACTGCGCTCTGCCGGGGGACCCCCAGGCTGTCACCGGTCCCTCCCAGCCGACCCCCGCCTAGCGCCGCCGGCCACTTGGGCTCTCCCAGGCCACCCGGCTCAGCTCTGCCGGCTCAGGGGCGGCCCCTTCCGGAGGGCGGCCTCCAGGAGACTGCGCGGTCCTAGGAAGCCTCGGGATGCCTTTACTCAGACCTGCTCTAGCTGGAGAACTCTCCACAGCACAGTTCTCTGAGAAATACCTGTCCCGGAAAGGGAAGGGTGGGTAAAGAGATGAAGAGAACGTCAGGGTCCGAGAGTGGAAGGAGAAAGAGGATGAGGAAGAAGGGAAATTAAAGAAAGGAAAGGACTGACGGGAGGAAATCCCCTGGGCTTGGTCCCTTTTCTGGGATCAGTCCAGTAAGTCCCTCACAGGGTCTGGACAAACTGCCCAAACCTCTGATCCTTGTATGGGGGCGTGGGGAGGTGTGCTGGCTTCCAGACAACATGAATATTATGGTGAGGTGGGTAAGGTGAGCTGTTGTGAATCAGAGAGCTCCCCCAGGTCCGCAAGCTCAGCCAGAACCCCAAATTTTACTGTCTTAGCCAAAATAGTATATTTGCTGGACCTGCCTCCACATTCCAGAGTAGCACGACTTGTACTGTACGAGGATGAGGCCCAGCTAGGGGTGAATGACTTAATAGATGCCCATGGGAACTGCTCCCACTAAGACCTTGAAACTGCAGCCTGTCTTCACCTGTTCAAGTTTGAGAAATGTGGGTGCATATATATATATATA